GACAAAAATCTGGCCTGGGGTGGCTAGCAATTTTTGTCAACAAGCTCAGGCTTTTGTACCCTCCCCAATGCTCCCATAACCCAAAAGGCAATAGCCAATGTGCCAGAAATGAACTTTCCCTCCCTTTGCTTGCCGAGCTCCCAAGCACATTAATTTAGTTTGAATCTAATGTGTTGAGGAGCTATTTAAGTTTAATTCTATTCATTTGAGTGGCATGAAATAAAATGTCTAGATTCTAGAACAATGTCAAGAAACTAGATGGTGTGTTTTTTTACGACAGTAAGAAAATTTTGTTTCTCCTACCCAGAAAGATGGCTCAGTGGATAAAGGCTCTCGCCACTAATGATAACATGAGTTCAGGAACATGTGGTGGATGGAGATGCTGCACCACCACCACCACCCCCCACCCCCCGACCACCCACCCCCCAGGCCATGCACAACCACAACAACAGTAATAATAGTAATAGGGTGGAGCGATAACTCAGCAGTCAAGAGCACTGGCTGCTCTTCCAGAGGACCTGGTTTTCATATCTAACACCCACAGAGCTGCTGCAAACCTTTTGTAATTCCAGTTAAAGAGAGTTACATCCCCCTTTGGCCTCTGAGGGTACCATGCAGATGTGTGATAAACAGACACCCATGCAGGCAAAACATCCCTCATAAAACACTTTAAATAAATAAATGTTTCTTTATAAAGAAAGAAAATACCTTTTCTCAAATAACTATTCACAAAACTTTAGTGTATGGTACATTCTTATCATCCCAAGATTCAGGAGGCTGGTGTAGCTAGAGTTTTCCTGCCTTGCCCACAGTTAGGACAAATCTCTGTCACCCGCCAGTCCCACAGCCACTCAGACCGAACCAAGTAAACACAGAGACTTATATTGCTTACAAACTGTATGGCTGTGGCAGGCTTCTTGCTAACTGTTTTTATAGCTTAAATTAATCCATTTCCATAAATCTATATCTTGCCACGTGGCTTGTGGCTTACCGGTGTCTTCACATGCGGCTTGTCATGGTGGTGGCTGGCAGTTTCTCTGCCTCAGCCTTCTGCTTCCCAGAACTCTCCTCTCTCCTTGTCCCACCTACTTCCTGCCTGGCCACTGGCCAATCAGTGTTTTATTTATTGACCAATCAGAGCAATTTGACATACAGACCATCCCACAGCAGGCTGGGGCAAGAGGATTATGAGATCAAGGCCATGCTTGGTTACACAGCAAGATCCTGGCTGGTGGGGGATGGGGATGGCTTACTTACTTTTAAACCATGGGATGGAGGAAATTAACATACAAATGGATAAAACTACTTGTCTTTAAAAAGGTTGTTTTGATTAATTACATATACCATAAGAGAATTTAAAATACTCAAAAGATCTAGAAAATTCTTAGCTTTTTAGTTTCAACTGTAGGTATAATGGGTCCTTGTCCCACCAATGTCAAGTCCAAATTTGGAATAGAGAGAGCAGAATGCATGATGATATACATTCAGAAGCAGAGATATTAGTTTAGCCTGAGTCATTTTATTCCTATGGACATTTGTGCACAAGGTATCTACATCAACTTCATTTAATTAAACAGAATATTGCCATATTTTACTACAAATTAAGAAAATAAACATAGCATTTCAGAATTATAGAATTAGCCTTCATCTTCAGCCATGCTACTCTAAACATGCTGAATTTCAGATTATAAATTTTCACATTTTTAAGAATGACAACATGTTTAAATTGATTATATTCAGTATACTTTTTTGGCTTAACATAATATTAAGCACATTATTTTGTCAAATGGTACATGATCAAATGTTATAATTTCATTGTTAGGCATCCCACCTACTTAGCTATAGTGCTAGGAAGAGAGGTTGAGCTAAACACTGGGACTCTTTCTTGAAGCTTATTTCAAATATTTATCAAAACCGACTCCCTCCACCCCATTCTCCCTAAGCGACTCCCTCATACTGGACCCACGATTGCCTTGTGCTAGAATCAGGACGCCAGCACTGTGTTGGCTTTAAAACTCTGTATGAGGGTTCCTACCCGGATAGCAGCACCCCAGCTGGAAGAAGGTAGAAAACTCAAGAGAATGGTACTGAAATACCAGGAGCACTCTGCTCTTCCGTAGACTGAGCAGTTGTTTGCTGGGAACCTATGACTTGGATTCTGTTCCTAGGATGGAATGTAATACATCCCAGCTGACGCACTCAAGGCAAGAAAATATATCATGATTAATTTGACAAATGACTCCTAAACCCAGCACTGCTGCTTAGGAATTTTCCCTTTGAGTGCTTTGCTTACAACAAGTTTATGTACCAAATAAAAAAAGAAACTTGATTCATTTGACCATGAGTGTAAGTATGCTGAAGTTTCACAAGAGATTTCCTTTTCTCTTTAAGGTTTTGTCTGGTCTCTGCCCCTTCCTCCCTGCCCACTCCTTGTATGAATCTTAAGTGGTCCTTTAATAAAAATCCCAGAGCCAGATACTAGGGTAAATGCTGAAACATCACAGAGAAAAATGAACAAGCCACAGTCATCTCTCACATCGCCAACACTTCAAATCCTACGTTTCAAAGGCTCAGAGAGAACTCAGCTGAAAAAGCTCTCTAGCCTAAGGCCTCTAGTTGAAAAGAGATTTAGTTCCTGTCTTTTCACGCCTTAAATATCCATCTCCATGCAGCAATATCACTTCCTTCATGGTGCTGGGATTAAAGGCATGTAACTCCCAAGTATGGGGATTAAAGGTGTAGGCCACCAGTGCCTGGCTCTGTTTCTCTCCTAGATTAAATCAATCTCCTGTAGTCCAGAGTGGTTTGCAACTCACAGCTCCAGAGCTCCATATGTCTGCCTCCCGAGTGCTAGGCCACCACTGCCTGTGTGCTACCACTGCCTGGCCTCCGTGTTTAATCTCATGGCTTGCACTGCCCTGTAGCTGGAGGGCTTCTCTCCAGGTTCCCCAAGCCCCGCAGGCCCACAATCCACTTATAAAATAATCACTCAGATGCTTATATCACTTATAAACTGTATGGCTGTGGCAGGCTTCCTGCTAACTGTTCTTTTATCTTAAATTAACCCATTTTTATAAATCTATACCTTGCCACGTGGCTGGTGGCTT